GATGAGCTCTGTTGCTGGCTGCTGCTTCTGGAATCAGGGTCCCCCGAAATCCCAAGGTCCCTGGCTTCCTAAATCTGAAACGTCCCTGGCTTCCTATATCTGAAACTCCTTTTTAATTTGGCCTCCCAATGGGGTTTCCTAGTTCTTGCAGCCAAAAAAACTTGGCTTTTTTATTCTTAATTCCAAGACTGCTCATTCTGTCCTGTTCTGGTGGCTTCACGCACTCCACCCCACCCCCACCCCACAGTTCAAAAGGACAATGATAGTGACTTTCTCTCCTATTCTCCACAATAACCATAAAATTGCAGACTATTTGGCTAGATGGGGCCTCAGAGCAAGCCAGCCCAAGCTGTTTCGGAGATGAGGAGGCTGAAGCCCAGAGAGGGTGGCAACCTGCCCAGGCTCACACAGCAGCGATGGCAGCCCTGGCACGAACATCAGGTTTTTACTCTTGGTCAGTGGTTTTTTCAGCTATATCAGGCCATGCCTTTCTTTTTGATTTTATTCTCTTCCCTTCCTTTTCTATGGAAATATTCTTCCCCCTCTTTGAAACGTCCTCTCTGTGGAGCAGGGCAGCTTCTGGTGGCACCACGGTGGCACCTAGAACCAAGCCCCTGTTCTGGCTCGGGCTTCCTTCAGTCCTTTTGAAAGACTTTTCGCTTCCTGGTCCCTCATCCACCTAGATCCTCAGGGACCTTATCCCCCCTCCCCTGGAAGCAGCCTCTTCAGCTCTTATTCTCCCTCCTAGTCCTGAGGAGGCAGATGGGACCACAAGGAATTGGCTTCGCTCTCTGACCTTAGTTTCCTGGTCTCTAAATTGGAGTGAGGGTCTCAGAAAAGGAAATATGAATATTTGTGCATATGCTTGTACCTACACGTGTGCATGTGTGTGCGTGTGTGTGTATGTGTGTGTGCATGTATGTACACAGCTCATGTATCTCCCAGGCTGTTCCTGGGGGTAGATGGGAAAGTTAATTAGCACCAGGATGAAAGGTGCAGAGAGATAATTGCAGGTAATATCAGGAGAGCTAGGAAAGTGGAGAAAGAGACCCTTGACCTCCTGGGGGTTGGGAAGCCCCTGGCCCCAATCCTGCAAATCTATCAGACACCTGGAGAGGCAGGGGGAAGGGAGCAGTCTGAGTGAAGGGTCTTTGTCTTTACAGGGAAATGCTTGTTAGTTGCTAAGGAACTGGGTTGTCTTTCCTGATCCAAGCCTCCCAATGTTTTGCTGAGCTTGGGTGGGGGATGCTGGGCTGGGGCTTGAGGCTCCCTTGACAGTTGGTTTTTTCCCTGGGGCTGCAGAGCCCTGATGGATCTCTTGGGAAGGTCTCTCATCTGGGGAGGGTGGCTCTTTCCCATTACCCTAAGCCTGGCTGCGCGCTCCAGCTGACTAGGGAGAAAAGCAGGTGAGCTGGAGGCAGGGAAGAAAAGGAGGAAAACATGCATTTACTGAACAGCCTGCATACAAGGCATTGTACTTGGGTGCCTTCCATGCTATCTCATTTAACCATTGTAGCAAATCTTTAAGGTAGGCACTCATTTTCATTTATTTTTGTTACACTGTTTTTTATAGCTGAAACAAAGGTCCAGAACAGTTGAGGGAGTTGCCAGAGGTCACAGGGTTATCTAGTGGTAGAAATTCTTTTTTTTTTTAAAGATTTATTTATGCATATAAGAACTGGGGTACAGGCCAGAGGTGAGGGGGGTGAGAGGATTCACCAGAGATAGAGCGGGGAACAGAACAGGTGGATCTTCTGAAATACACTGCTGAGGGGAGCAGTGGGCGAGACAGGAGAGGTCTGCTGTGCCATGTGGGCAGCTCCCTGGCCAGGGATTGAACTTGTGCTGCAGTGGCTGCGGATTGCTTCATAGGTTGCGTCTTAACCCCTGCACCACGAGGGAGGCCCTCAAGGGGTAGAAATTCTATATGAATCTAGGTCTGCTAGGTAAGTGAAATTAGGCTTTTAAAACTGTACCACCTAATGCATATACCAGGCTCTTCCTGTCTTAAATCTACTTGGCCCTCATCTCAAACCCACTGCCTCCACCATGACCACCCCCACCACCTCCACCACCACCTCTACTTCCACCTCCACCAGTGGATTAAGGGTGGTGAACTGTTGAGAGAGTGGGCAGGTGGGAGAAGGTGGTATGGCCTTGAACTGGGACAGGCCATTGATGTGAGTATTCAGAGCTGACTGTTCCCACAAATTACACTTGATCTGGGGTAGCTGAAGCTGGGGGTAGGGAAGACGCTTTGCTTTGGGAAGTTTCCCTTGAATTCCTCTGGAGCTTCTAGCCTTTGGCCCACCGTGGCTTCTGAATAAACAGAAGCTCTGGTCTTTATTTTATATAGCTCAGAGAGTAAAATTAGGGCCCTGTTTACCCTTGCGTGCTAAGAATGAGAAGTCTTGAGTTAACACCAGACTCCACCACTACTAGTTACGGAACAGGGAGTAGGTTTCTTAATGGATTCCCAGTCTCCTCCTCTATAAAATGAGAATAACACCACCCATATGATTAGGTGGTTGTGACAACTGAATGAGCGCATGTGTAGGAAGGCCCCGGTGGGTGCTAGGCAGCGCAGGAATGCTTTAAGTGAGATGCCACACGTCGGGCATTTGGTCTGGTACCTGGTAGGCCGAGAGCACACAATAAATGGCATCTGATAACGATGATGTTATCCGTCCTTCTTATCCCCGCAAAGGGGTCACTAATACTCCCTTATATTTTTCTTAGCTGTTTCATCGGAGATAGGGGATACGCATGCTAATTTTGCTGTTGGTGGAGGAGGTAGTGAAAAGAAAAGGGGCCCAAGGAGTTCTGCAGGCGGAGGGCTGAGTCAGGGTGGGTTTCCCCAAGGTCTCCATGTTCCCCCTCCACCTCTCCCCAGCCGCTGCAGCCTCCCCTGTGGCTGCCAGGGGCCATGTGGCCAGGCCGGCTTCAGTTTAGAGTCTGGGCCAGTTTGGGATTTTTTTCACATTCGGAGGCTAGGAGGGTGGGGGTCTCTCCTGCAGCTGAGCCAAAAGCCAAAACACCAGGGGAAATGATAGGAGGGGGAAAAAAGGAAGGAAAGCAAGCCGATAATTTCCTCGAAGGATAAACATCCGATTTTTTTTCCTCGCCCAAAATAAACATGCTTGCCACAAGGAATTAAAAGCAGAAGAGGGGAGGATGTGTCTGAGTTAGGGCTGCTCGAGGAAGCTGACCTGCTATTTGTCCTGTTCTTGGGCACCAATTACACTCTGGCCTGGTGGCGTGGGCACTGTGGGGAGAAGGGCCCAGGGAGTGTAAGGTTCACACATGCCCGGGAAATCCTTTCAGAGCCACCTTCCACGACACTCCAAATGGACACTTCCTTTTGCTTTGTGTTCTAACTCTGCTGGCACGCTTGTCTGCTAGGGTAGAGAAGGGTGGGAATTCCTGCTGTCTGGGCTGGCATCAAATGCCCTTTTAGAGAACAAGGATCTGGTGTCCGTCACATAGGCTGGGCACTGAATCTGTCAGTTGGGAGTGGGCAGTTCAATCCAATTTCCTCCCCATTCACAAACTCAGTCTCCCACCCATGCGACCTCAGATTCCCGCCACGAGAAGCTTCCAACTAGTTAAGGGTGCGCTCAGCCGGGATGAGGGCCTGACTAGGGTCTTCCTGCCTTCCAGCTGATGCGGGCATGGCTCTCAGGGGGCAGCTCCCCTGATGTGCCCCTTTCATCTGGGATCATAAGGCACTTGCTCATAGGAGTCCACAATGTTGCTGTATTGCAGCAGGAGGGGGTTATTAACTCTTGGAGGGAAAAATTGAGTGGAGGGGCATTTTGTGGGGTGGGGGTGGGGGTTGAAAAACCATGATGAATGAGATGGTAGTAAAGAGTGTCTCCCAGAGGCCTTTGGGTGGGAATGCCAGGAGACATCCAGAGGAAGTTCTGTACCTTAAACCCTTCTCTCATAGATATCATAGCTTTCTTTTTTTTTTTTTTAATTTTTAAAGATTTATTTTTATTTATTTATTTTATTTATTTATACAAGCACTGGGTACAGTCAGAAGCGTGGGAGGGTGAGAGAATCCACCAGAGCCAGAGAGGGGAGCAGAGCAGGCAGAAGGACCGAAGTACACTGCTGAGGGGAGCAGCGGGCGGCAGGAGAGGTCTGCGCGCCATGTGGGACCCTCGCTGGTGGCCGGGGAGCAGCCGGGGATCGAACCGGTGCTGCAGATGCTACAAGCAGCTTCGCAACCCAGCGCTCAACCGCTGCGCCACCGGGGAGGCCTGATATCATGGCTTTCTAAAAGCATAAGTCAGATGATGACTCCTGTCCTCTCTAACTGACTTACCATTTGGTGATTGTCCATTGCTTTCAGGGTACAACCCACACCTTTGCATGGCTGCAAGACTTGGCTTGTCTGGGTCTTTGTCCAGCCATTCTTGTCCCCGGCCACACCACTAGCCTGTCATTTCCTGGAAGATGCCACACATTCCCCTGCCAGCCACAGGAGCTCGGAGGTGTTCCCTCTCTTTGGCAGGTTCTCAACCCTGTTCCCACTCACAGTGAGCCCCTCCCCTACTCTTCAGCCCTGAAGTTAAACATCATGTCCTTTTAGAGAATTTGCCTGAACCTTTCTCTCTCCCCCTGTTGTGAAGCTGGCGCCCTCCACCCTCATAGCCCGGCCACACTCTTGTAATTTGCTTGTGGTCATGGGGTGCAGCTTTCCCGCCCCTACTGGCCCGAGATCTCTGCGAGACAAGTCCCGTGTTGGATCTGCCCTGTTGTACACGTATCCCTGGGGTCGAGTGAAAATCAGCTACTGCACCAGGTAGAAGTGTTGAGTAAATGGTGTTGGATGCTGAAGCTGGAAAGGACCACAGTGATAAACCAAAGCTCCCCCCATCCCTGCCCTGCTTCTTCTGACCTTAATGTCACAGCTGAGGAACCAGAGGAGGGTGATTTATTCAAGGTCACAGAGCCTCAGTGACAGTTTGGGATTATGGAACCCCCCCACCCCCACCACGTCCATCTATTCCAGTGCACTGCCCACAACCACGTGTACGTGCAGGAAAGCCCCAGTTGCCAGTGCTGGCCATTGGTAGATTTCTTGTTGGTCTTTGAAGGAGAACAGGCTAAGAAGCAAAATATCCAACCAGGAAGCCCTGCATGACTTTTTTAATTTGGAGGAGAAGGGTTCCCTATCCAGAGGGGTTTCCATAATCAGACCACTGGTGTTGGGCAAGGTAGACACCTGCAAAGTGACGTCTGAGGTCTGGAAGGCGTTTACCTCTTTCTGGAATTGTCCTTGGTTTTAATGTTTTCTCCTCCGGAGAGAGCCACGAAACTTGGTGAGTCCTGGTAATTCTGGGTCGTGAACTGGGTGCTTGCTTCAGGTTCACTCAGGTGGAAGCGGTTCAGAAATTTGTCCATATTCCAAGAGCCTGGAAGGACAAAGGGACCGTAGGGAGGCAGTGAGAGAGCCATGGACTTGAGAGCTGCCCAGGGTCTTCAGGGAGGGCCAGCTCTGGGGTTATGGAGACAGTAGGGGACCACATGCGTCACTAGGCTGAGGGGAGGGAGGGGGGCGGGTGCCACCTGGCTCCTAACTGCAGGGCGGCCCCTGAGGTTAGCAGAGAGCCTTGGAAGGGGCAGAGTTGCCAGCTTCCCCAGAGGACGGGGATTAAGAGTCCAGAGGGAGTCATGGACTCCCAGGGCTCTCCATTTAGCAGAACTCTGCCACCTCCTTCACATGCAGAAAGGTAATGCCTAATCAGACAGGCTGCCCACTTCCTCCACCTCCTCTTTTCTTGACTCTCCTGACCTGGTGAATGAGGCCTTAATGCTTCTTTTCATCATACCTGGTCATGCCAGCTGATGGGACTGAGAGGGGCATTCTTTCAGTTGCTTCCCCAGAACCCTAGAAATCCCGACCTCCTCCCCATGTCCCAGGAGACCCCATGCGGCAGGATCTCTTCCCTGCCTGGCTCCTGATCACTGGGATGTTAAAGAGGAGTGGAGCCTGGGGCAGAGGCCCCAGGCCGGGGCTTCTCTAGACCCATGTCAGAGGGGACCCTCCTCAGGGGAGAAAACACTGGAAAGTGAGGGAGGGGAGGTGCATCTTCTGGAGCAAGTTTGAACAAGCCTAGTAGTAGGGCAAGGAGGGCACAGCCCCGGGCACTGGGGAGAGGCCTAGGGAAGTGGTCAGAGGCATATTCCCACGCTTTTGTTTCCCAAACCATGGGCCTCAGGCACCCTCAGCGGCCAGTTGCCAGATAAAATACAGGACGCCAGTAAAATTTGAATTTCAGATAAACAACAGATAGTTTATTATTGTAAGTATGTCCCACATATTGCGTGGAGCATACTTATACTAAAAAATTTTCCTTGTTTATCAAAAATTCAAATTTAACTGGGCATCATGTATTTCTCTCTCGCTCTCTCTTTTTTTTTCTTTTTGCTAAATCTAGCAACCTTCCCTTGGTCGGGAGAGAGCTCAGGGAAAGACCTTGCCTGGAACAGAGCATATAGGCCCTGGGACACTCAAGAGCAGTAACCTGACACTTCCAGGCCAGCATCTTGGCTGTCCTCAAAGCCTCCCTATACCTGTCTGTGGCCTGTCTGCCCCTACCACCCTTTCAAGGATGAAGAAAGCAAGTCCATTAAGTCTTTGTTGCTTCATTAACTCCCTCTGAAAGCTGTTTGCATTTCAAAGATATTTTCAAGGAGAGGATCTTTTTTTTTTTTTTTTTTTAAAGATTTATTTATTTATACAAGAACTGGAGCACAGGCCAGAGGCTCAAGAGGGTGAGAGGATTCACCAGAGGCAGAGCAGGGAGCAGAACAGGCAGATGGACCCGACGACACTGCTGAGGGGAGCAGCGGGCGAGACAGGAGCGGTCTGCAGCACCATGTGGGAATCTCCCTGGCGGGCCCGGAATCGAACCCAAGCTTCAGAGGCTGCGCGCAGCTTCACAGCGTGGCGCTCAACCTGCTGTGCAACCGGCGAGGCCCGAGAGGATCATTTTTAATCCCAAGAAACAAAACACTAATACTAATAATACTAATATTAATACTAATACTAAACAGCAGCAACACACCTCTATAGTGCTTCCTAAGTGCCAGGTTCTAAGTACCCCTTGTATATTTATTAGCCCTCACAAGGAGTGCATTATTTTTATCCCCTGCACAAATGAGGGGGGCTTCTCAGGGAGCGAGATGGGGAAAGGGCCTCCTCAGGGTCCCACAAATCCTGTCTGGCTCTGATTTGGCCTGTGAGAAATGGTAACTGGGACTGTGAAAGTTCTCTTGGGGGAAGGGCTACTGGCTCAGAGAGCCTTTCCTGTGACTGGGCTGTGGCTTAGCCAAGGGGAGGAGGAGGAGAAAGAAAAGAGGGGAAGAAGGCCTGGCCTTGGCCTCTGCACCCAGGGAGCCTGACTGACTGGAAAAAAAGTGATGTTATCATGACCCTGGGGAAATGTGGGTCTGTGTACATGTGTGTGTCCTTGCATGTGTGTGCCTGTGTGTGCACACCAGGGAAGAGGCTCATGGGTGAAGTGGTGTGTGGCAGGCAAGGGGACAAGGGGGCCTTCCCCACCGAGCAGGACAGGAAGGAACTGGGGTGGCAAGGAAGGAATTGAAACTCATCACGAGATCTAGGCGAGCTGGTGGAAAGAAATCCCCTGTGCCCTGAGGGAGATCTTGCTCTCCTCTCCACAGATTCGGCCCCCTGCCCCAGAAGACTACTCTTGCTTGAGCTTGGAGTGCCTGGGGTGGGGGGGTGGGGTGGGGAGGCTTATAGGTCCCATTTGCCACAACCTTGTGGTCCTTGACTTTCTTCTCAAATCCAGGACCCGTGAGGGACACAGGAGGGTACGGGGCAGTCAGCTGCTGGCCTCCTGCTGCCTCCTCCCCTGGCTTGGCTGTGACTCCTTACACCCCCGTTTCCTGCCACAGAGGGCAGAGGAACTGACCCTGTACAAGTTCTAGAAGGATGAGGGGTGAGTCAGGCCCTCCAGCTTGTGTGGAGAGCTGGGGAGCGCAGAGGCTGTGGTTTTCGTGGTCACTGCATGGAGGAAAGCCCCATCCTGTATGGCGCTGCTCCGGCCCCTGGGCACAGGGAGTTGCTGCCACGCAGGAAGAGGCGGCTCTGCTGTCTGTGCTGGGAACACTCCCCCGGTATCCTGGGCCCATCCAGACAGGCCTCGTCCTGGGACCAGGGCTGGGGTTGAGTGTATTCAAAACGCCTCTGTGGTGGGAGGCCAGAGGGAGAAAGAAGAGGGCAGTGGAGTTCAGGGCAGGGCTACCATGTAGGGTGGGCAGGCTGGTTCCTGCACAACCCTAGGAGGCGCTATTCCCACCCCACAAAACCATAAGGCTGTGGCTGTGCTGAGAGGCCTTTCTCTCGCTTACTGGCCAGTGCTGACAAGGAAGATGTTAGATGCAACAGATATCCTAGACATAGGCCAAGGGGAGTTAGGTAACCTGACCTAGAGATGTGGGGGTGGTGGTGGCGTGTTGAGCTACCCCTATCTTCAACAACTGGGAGAGGGACTCCCAGCTTTCATGCTCACCGTTGGAGTTTGAGTTCCGGAATAGCTGGAATGTTTGGGGGAATGGCCCTGGGGCAGGTCTGGACAGTCACAACTCTCCACCCTCAGATCCCCAAATCTGTGGGGCTGGCTCTCCACTGTTTGGGAGTGGCTCATCATGTGGGGCTGGACATCCACATTGGGCCGATTAGGGTTCAAGAGGCATCTGGGGGACTGAGAAGGTAACAGCACACCTAGTCTAGCCCTTCCCTTCCCATAGGACTCTGGAGAATGGGGGTGTCAACTAGTTCCTTTGCCAGAATGTGGATACTCTAAGCAGAGGGGAATCTCAGACTCTGGCTTTGGAGACCCCCTAACACTGACGGCTACCTCCTGGGATCTGTCAGCACCTCCAATCCTGCCCGCCGTCAACTTATGACAATTAACACTGGACTAGTAATGAGTTAGGCCCATAAAGTGGGGCCTTGGCCAGCAGCAGGACTTTGCAGCCCCCCCCCCCCCAATGAGGCCCTAGCCCAGGCCACACCCCCTGGGGTCCCCAGCAGGCCAACAGCACAGCCTTCCCTGAGTGCCTTCCTCTTGTCAAGGGACATTTTCCGCCTGATTTGTCCTTTGGTCTTCCCAGGGCCCTCAGGTGCTTCCCTCTCAGCCTGGAAAAATGGGGTTGGGAAGCCTCCATTTGGGAGGACTGGAGAACAAGGGGGTCCTGAGCCTTGGGATGGGTCTCCTCTGCCTGCCCTGCTCAGCACCTCCTGGGCAGGCTCTGTGGCAAGTGAGCTGTGTCTAACCCAGGTGGCCACCCTCGTTCCTGGACTCCCTTCCTCTCCCCCTAGGGAGGGCACTGCTGCTTCTTGTCAGGGGACATTGGCCCTGAAGAAAAAATAAAAATTGAACACCAGCCTAATAGCCGCCCCCCGAGCGCCCAGCTCAGGTCTGTAATTTGTCTGGCACTTCGCAGGGCTGGCTGCAGTGATGGAAGCGCTGATGCCTTTCTGCTGAGATTAATGATGTCCTGGCGGTGGTAGGCGGGAGGCTTGAGCCTTTTATTCTTTGTGCCATTAAATGACATCCAGAGACTTCCACTCAGGAGCTGAAAAACCCTCGTTCCATCACATTCAATTACTTCTGGAGAATATTTGCTGAGTGGCTGATCCTGCAGCCTTGAGAGGCTTGGGGCAGAGGGGACCACTTGGACTTTGGTGGGGATGCCAGGGGGAGTTCCTGGGTGGTGAGGGGTTATCTTAGTCTCCTCTTGAGAGGAGAACTGGAGAGTGCAGGTGCAATTCCTCTTTGCCCAGTAAGTGGATCCCCTGGGCACCTGGCAGGCCACCTCCTCCATCCTGTGCATAGGGGTGGGTGTGAGGAAGGGAGGGGGAGGAGAGGAGACTTGAAGCTGTCAATTTAGGCCCCCAGTTATCAATTTCATCATTTGGTGGTGGTGTTGGTTGGCTGGAGTTCTGGGTGAAATTTGGGGATTATCTGTGGTTTCTTGATGATTGTTCAATATTGTCTTTGACTGTTGATGCTTGGCTTGATTGGGGCATGCTTCTGGAAGTGGGCTGCCTCAGGCCTACGGAGATTGCAGGTAGTTGCTAGCTAGGGCGCCTGTCTGAGAGTTGCCCAGGATGGCCCCATCTGGGTCGCTGCCAGGCCCCCTGTCCTACCCGCTCTGCCAGGTGGGTGGGGCCCTTCAGAGGCAGAAGAGGGCCGCCTGACACAAGCCCACACAGTGACTCAGGGGCTGGGCCCTGGGGGATTCTGGGGCCTGGCCAGGTGAACCACCATGGGAGGTCATGGCGGAGGGTAGAGGCTGTTTTGCAGTGGGCTGTGTGTGTTTGTGTCTGTCTGAGTGTGTGTTTGGGGCTGGTCTCCAGGCAGGGCCTCCTTCCCTC